TAAATAAGTAGTAATTCAACTACACTTCAAAATTTGATACATTATTTAATATAGATGAATAAATGAATAAATACATTTTGTATTACATTACGATCAATTCTGGGTGCTACACTGCATGACAGAACATAAAAAAAGAAGTATAAACCTGTAAGAAACTATTTAAAAGGAAAACAACTTTGACTGATGTGTCTACGTTTTACTCAGGCTGCAATAGAGCGAGAGAGAGCAAGACTTCACCGGTCACAATACCTAATTTTGCCGGACAATGAACCATCCCAGGAATTATTGTGAAAAATGATGACATTGAATCCAAACGGCTAAACACTGCAGCTACTTTCAGCTTTAAACCCAAATTTTATCTCTGCTTTTCCAAATCTCAACATTTCTCTAGCCTGATACTCAGTGAAAAGCCCCTCATGCTACACTGGCTGGGATAAGGAAACGATGAGTGGAGCCCAATGCAGCAGAGTGAAACCTTTTGTCCTTCAGACTCTTTACACGATGAATGCAAAAAAAACAACATAACCATAAATTATCTTATTGTTTTTTGTAACAGAAATTATATTATTACCCCTGTGCTGCTCTCTTTATTATTTTCTGTTTACTTAGGAACTTTCTAAATATGGAAATATTAGACTTTTTCTTTTTTAACTCTGGTCCTCAAGGCACACTATCCTGTATATTCTTAGTGTTTTCTGGCTTCAACACACCTGATTTAAAGTTTTGGCTGATTAACCGGCTTTCCTAAACAGCAATCAATGGAATCAGGCGTGATTGAGCAAAGAAACAGATTAAAATGTTTTCAGAGTCTCTGATTTGATGGCACCATTACTCACAGCTTGAAGCCCTATTTTTCCCTTTTAATTTCTAATCTGACATCAGTGGGTAAAAGCTGTACAAAAACTTCAGTTCTAAAATCAACACGCATTTAAATTGCTTAATCAAGTCACATTTATTGCTAGAATCACACTTCACACTGCTGACCAGCTTTTTTTTTTAAAATAAATTGTCACCTTTGCTCCTCAGTCTGAGGTTAACCAATTAAAAAGTAGTTTTTTTATGTATATATGGATTTGTGTTATGCAAGAAACTTTCATAATGGGTCAATCATAAAAGCATAATTGTACTTATTTATGTAAATACATCATTGGTAATTTTGATTAATCTGTCAGGGTTTACGGCCGACCAAAGGTGAGCTAATTAGTCACTACAGCTATAGACAGTTAGAGCCCTTAAAGGTCATTTTATTATTTATGCTTTATTATTTTGACATTCTTCAAAATTGCACCACTTATTTGGTCAAAGAGGAAGAATTTCCTGTTTGTCCATCCATATATCAGACAAAATACATGTTTATTTGAGTCCCAAATACTGCTGTAAACAGACTGGGAGTGAGACTAGCCCATCTCAGTGTCTTCAAAACCTCTCACTCCATATTCCCAATTTCTCACACTAAAAAATGACAGACATTAAAACTCTACTCCGTTCCACTTATTTATGAATGAAAACACCGGGGTGATTTTTAATACCATCTTAGTGCTAACACAGCAGGACATGCCAGGTTCATATCCAGTCCGTATTCCTACCTATTCACTGTGCCAGATATTGAACAAAGACGGTTGTTCAGAGGTATGTCATCTTAATTTTATCTTATCTCATCTGCACTGAGATAATTCTCTTTGTAAATTATTGAAGATTTTAAGCAATCTAGCACTTGAGTTCAGGTTTGCCTCTCAAACCCATAGCAGCTCCACAAAATGAAAAAGAATCATTGCATTTTATTTTTCAAAAGATCCGCCACCCAATAAAAGACCAACCACATACAGAGAGGAGTTCAATTTGGCTTCTCTACCTGAAACAGACAAACCGTTAATGATACGGCCATGATCTTTTCTGGCAATCATTTTAACCTGAAAACGAACAATATAAAGTAGATTTGAGCAGATATTTTTGGTTCCAAGCTTCAAATCAGATGTGCAGGATGTGCAGAACAACTAAGTTATCCAGGATTCATAAAGGCAGAACCACAGGGATGTTCTCATGTGATTATTTCTTATCCTATTAATTTATCCTTGTTTTGTTCCATTGAATGTGTTAACTTAATTTCATTTTCTCCATGTTTTTCTCATTTCCTTTATTTAACCACGTAAACCCCATTGAGATCTGGATCTCATTTTCAAGGGGGACCTGGGCAGAGATCTGCAATACGCTGCAACCTGGTTACAAAAATAAAACTAATTAATACATATGCACAAATATAAAACAATAATAACAATTTAAAAGCAGTGACATTGTTTCATAGAAGCTTGTTGTCTATCTTTAAGAACCGCTCTAAATAAGTCCAATGAAATAGTGTCTGACATCTTGAGCTCAGACTGGAGCTGATTCCACGCTGTAGGAGCAAACACACTGAACGCTTTCTTTCCTTTATCAGTTCGAACACGAGGAACATGTAGAAGAATAAAGACATTTGAGCATAAAAAATTTGAACTACTTGATCTATGCAAGATAGAGCTTAAGTATGTTGATGTTAGTCCAAGGAGAGATTTATACATTAGGATCATCAGATGATTGTTTCTCCGTACATTTAAAGGAGGCCATTCAGCTTTTGCATACAAATCACAACGATGCATCAAACGTTTACTACCAGTTATAAACCTTAAACCACAATAATTGAATTTCCATCGCTTTTTCCAAATAAATTATCCAGAAAAGTGCTGTCTTGTGTCATGGCGAGTTTTTATAAGATCTAAACCCTCCTAAAGGTCTGAATTATTTAGCCGTTTTGTCAATTATAAGAAAAACTAATAACATAATGAAGCTTTTTAATCCTTAGCCTATTACTAAATATTGATACAGCGTAGTTTGCATGGATTTCGATTGCACTGGTTCCTGTATTAGTGCCCGTAATCCAGTGATAACTTATTATTTTCCCAATTGTTTATTTTACTTAAACTGCAGAGAATAATTAATAAACAAAGTTGTGAAAATCTTAAAGAATATTTAAGATGAAAGTAATTCCATCGGGCCTATACTTCTTTACTTCAATTCTCTAAAAATCACCAGAATATAGAAAATAACATTAAATTGTGAGAAAAATGTTCCACATAATTACAGATCACTTATTGTTACTCAGTAACATTTACTGTGCTATAAAAATCCCACATTCTGACACTTTATTTCAGTTAAATCCTCCAACCCCAATGTTTGGTGAAAAGTTGGCAGTCCTGCAAATTTACTTTACTTATTGATTGTAAAGACTCATTTGCATTTCACTCAATACATCCAGTTGACACATAGAAGACAAAAGAAGGTTTAATTCAAGGAAAAATACATGCACTTTGTAAACTACAATTAAATGAGCAAGTTTAACTAAATGAGGGAAAAGAAGTTACAATTATTAAACATACATTGAGTAAAAAAAGGCTTCAAAAGCTTAAGAGACAAATATTATTAAACTAACTGTAAATGTTTTTCTTAGCATCTGTCCAAAAAGTTAATTACCTGGAGTCTGAACAGCATTACATTTTTAAGGTTATCACCTGATTAAACATGTGCATTAGAGGCTCTAGGTTGTTAAATTGTTAATTTTTATTTACGATGACATAATCCGGTGTGAAAAAAAGCAAAGATCAACCTCCACTGACAGCTGAGCAGATTAGTTCGTGTTTATAAACTGTAAAATGTTTATTCTGGATCGAAGCAGAAGCTTCTGGAAAACTGCATAGAAACGTCAATAATGTTCAGCTCTCTTTGAACACGATAAAAGAAGTTAACCGCCATCTATCAGTAGCATTTAATCAACAGGAATCCCTTCTATTAACGTCCGATCCGGTTATAATTAAGCATGCTAATGTTAGCATGTTGCTAACAAGCCTGTCATCTCTCCAGCTTACCTCTGCTCCGCGTTACAGCAGGATTAACAGTTTCCCAATGCAAATATTGATGTTTATTTAACCCATAAATGTATTAATAGACTTTCAACACTTAGGGGAATCTATTAGAAGCGACCAGAACCAAGCTGGAGCCTGAAAAGCTAATATTTGAACTTTGATCAGTTCAGAGAGCTGTCTGATGGCTGCCCCCTAGTGGTTGATCTCTGAACAACCAAAACAAAAACATCATCCATTAAAACTTATTGGAATCACTTTATTTTTTATAGGGCTTAACAAAATGGCTTGTTGGTTTTGCAGCAATGATATAGTTTCTCTAAATATACATATAACTTTTTTTTTTTTATAACAGTCATTTCACTACTTTAAAATTACACCAATATTGGTTCATAGATATAAAGCATTAAGTTATAACACATCTAACAAGAAAACATGTTTAATAAAAGACGAGGTGAAGGCCCACAATTCATACTTCAACTTAATAGAAACACATTAAGCATAGGCAAGCATAAGGTAAAAAATAGAAAGAAAAAAAAGACTATCAATGTGATCCCTTTCCAAAGAGTAAAAAAGGAAATTATAAATGTTCTTTACTAAGAAGTCAAAATAGGAGATGTTTCTGCAACTTTAAGCAGCAATAAGCAAGAAATTTCGAAAACTTGAGGGAAAAAACATTTTGCAAAATGTACCTCCTCAAAATGAAAAACTAGTTAAGCTTAATCCGAAAAATCCAGGCCACGTTTCAATGAGGTCAAATTTATACTCTGCAACTACACACATTCAAAGAATATGGGTTTTACACACATTAAATCTGGACCAGACATAACACATTAGGGGTTTATAAAGTTCTGAAGTAAATATTTTTTAAGTAAATAATATGCAAAAGTTCAGTTACAAGATCCCATATAAAGCTCATGTGTTGGCTCCCCTGGTAAAGATGTGTAAAATGCGCTGAAATTAATTATTCTTTTATTGCTGCAATGTCTTCACTATAAAACAAAATAAAAAATTCGAATCGTTTAGATAAAGAGGGGAAAAAATCAAATCAAATGTTAACCAAATAAAGCAGCTGCCTTAACAATCCCTTAAACAAAATTTTAATAATTATTTTTTTTGTTCTTTAATTTTTAAAGCATTCAGAGTTTTAGGGGACTTTGAATCTGTGACTTTCTGCTTGTAAACCAGTTGTTTAGAGGCAATACTAGGAAAAACTACTTTTTTAAAGTCCTTTTTAGGATGTGGTGCTTTGGTCAAGTCAAACTGAGGTGTATCTTCACAGCAGCAAAGACTGAAAGCAGGTTTTTGCATGAAACAAAAAAATATTCCTGCAGACAAGTATGACAGAGGATCTGTGACCCTCAGAGTTCATGGTCATAATAAATTTGAAATAAAGAAAAAAAGGTTGATTTATTTCATATCTTTACCGGGGGGATAAATCTGTCGCCTCTAAAATTGAAACCAGCTTTCTTTTTTTTTTCCCCAGAAAGATCTTGTAAAACAAATAAGATTCTCCAATTAGAAATCCCTGCTGGTGCACAGCAGTTCAAGCCTCGATCAGAACCTGACTAACCACCTCATCCGGTCACATTGAGGGCTCATCTGTTCTTTTCCTCACAGCACCTTCGTTTTTGTACAACAGACGGCAGCTTTTGTTTCCTTCACCGTCATCTCAGTCTACATGTCAGGCCACTCCATGTGGACCTGTGCAAACTCCCCCTGGTTCTTCCACTCCTTTTCTCCTGCTCCTCACTGGTGAGTAGCGCTATAGCTCAGAGCGAGAGCGGGAGATGCGGGGACCTTTCCGGATTTCTTTCCTTTTCTCCTCCTTCCTCCTCCTCTTCTCCTCCTCCCTTAGGATCTTCTGGAAGGCTTCAGCTGTGTGAAGAACCTGAGGGACACGAGACAAGAGAATAGGATTGAAATACTGTCCTTTACCTTCCATTATAAAATATTTTTCAGTATACATTTTATAGTTTTGTTCAAATAAAAACCACAATTCATTTTGGCCCTGAAAGGTCCATGGTCCATAGTCCATCAAAATTTATGATGGTTTTTAATTGTCAGATACAGGAACTAAAGCCTGTTGTTAGAAATACAAATAAAAAACAATATAAAAATGTATAAATAATAAGGTCCTAATTGTTCTTATGAGTCTAGTCTTCATTTTTGAAACTACAGTAATATTTTAAGTGAATTATATAGTAAAAAGAAATATATATATATATATATATATATATATATATATATATATATATATATATATATATATATATATATATATATATATATATATATATATATATATATATATATATATATATATATATATATATACACATACATACATACACACACATCAACAAACATAGAAATATTTGAATAAATGTTTGGATTTGTTTTACTTTCTGAAGTGAAAAAATAGTATTGGATTAGAAATAAGACAGAAACATGCAGAAGGTACATTAATTGTTCAGTTTAATTTAAAAACAAATTTTCAAATTCACTCAGAAACCAAAACCAAATTTCATGGCATTTGACTCAACATGACCAAAGTTATTCAAAAATTCAATTAAAAATTAGGAAGATTAGTTTGAGGTTTTGTGAACGTCACGTTTTGATTGGTAGCAGATTAAAATAAATGTTTACACTGGAATATAGCTTTTTTTGTTTTTTTGTTTACACAAATGAGTCCAAATTATCTCACCATTGACATTCTAAAAGCTGCATGATTTGTTTTCTTGATAGTTTCACTAGAACTTCCTTAATAAGGGTTCAACACGCTGTTTAAATTGGTAAGAATGATAATACTCAGATAAAGTCTCACCAAGAAGCCTCGAAAAGGTACTACTGGGTATTAAACTGTGACTTAAACTGTTTTATATTCAGTCAAGCTGCATTGTAGCCACAGTTGCTCTGAGGCACAGGCTGTTGTAAAGAGACCAGCAGAAATGGACAGAGCTGGGTTCAAACCAGCAGGATGATCTCCTGCATTTCCATTCTCAAATTGATTTATGATTTACATCATAAAATTAAAAATAATTAGTGTTCCTGCTTCTCTCAGTGGGAATCTCCAAACGAAACAAAAAAACTGAAATAAATCTGGTGAAAAGACAGCATTAGTCAAAATGCTCCCACTTTAGCTCTGAACGACACTGAAAAGGCTGAAGAACCTGCAGAACTTTAGGGACAACCCAGAATTATTAGGAAATAAAATACTGACGTAATATTGCACTATTTGCACAGGATTTATAATTTTTTGTGAGACTAAGATAAATGTACACAGTAGCCCAACATCAGAGATTAAAAGCTGAATTGTTTAAGATTCTGGTGCAAAACATTTCAGAATGCAATGATCAGAAATGACCAACATCCCATTAGAAAGTCACAATCAAACTGAAATATACCAAAAAGTCAAAAAGCAATATAGAACAAAAAAAGAAAAAAGATGGTGGGAAGGTTGCCTAATACTCACGTCGTCTCTCTCTGTGCGGTATGGATTTATAAAGTCCGGGGATTTCTCCGTTATTCCCAGCTCCTGTGACATCTGAGAGAGGAGCAGAAAAGACAAGACGATGCAGGAGAATCAGGAGATGAAACACTTTCTTTTTTTAAAGAGACTAAATGTGGGATTACTACTGCTGCACTGAGGGTTGAACCAACACCTTCAGGGTGCAAACTGCTGCTTAGACTCTGAATTAATCTGCTCTGTAATCCTCTTGGTAGATTATTGAAGTTGCAGGATAATCCTGATAGTTAAGTTAATTAACATAAAAAAGGAGGGAACTGTTTCATCAGTGTTGCTCATTTCTACTTCAAAGGCTTGTCCTCTTTGCATCATTGAGAAATATAGGAATATAACCAGTTTTTATAGTGACAGAGGTGTTGGATTAATTTCCATCCCCCTGTAAAGCCACATGGACTACTAAGAACTGGCCTGTAGCTAAACTGTACATCATTACATCCCACAATTAAACCAGATAAGCAAAAATAAAATTACGTATAGAGATAAACTAATAAAAAGATCAGTTCCCAGTTTTCTGTCAGATTTTTCTCCTAGAGTCTCTTAGAACTAAAGCTGTTTGCAAATGTTGAGGAAACTTGTTTTTGACAGGTACGCTACATGTCAGAACTGTGTGGTCTTACGAGTGTGAGGACATGCTGGTGGGCTCCTCCTGTGAAGACTCCCGTCTGGTTGCAGAAATTCAGCCCCCAGCGCAGCAGGCCTCCCCAGTCGGAGTTGCGGTCGTAGTAGTGGTGGACGATGCGTGGGAAGCGCAGCGCCACGTCGCCGAAAAACGCCGTGTTCTCCACCACATGCGAGTAAGCTGTAGTGACGATAACATGTAGGCATAAAAAAAATGAAGGATGTAGAGACTAACAGATAGAAATGGAGAAAAAAGTGAGCTGTACCTTCTTTGATCTTATCGTCCAGAGGGAAGGGATCATTGGGCCGCATGTTGGCTGCGACCAGGATTTGTCGGGAATCCTCCAACACCTTCAGAGAAGACAAAAAAAGGTCTGAGCGGTGAAGATGTCTGGTTAGCGAAGATGTGAGACGTTTAACGTTTAAAGAGCAGCTCAAGCTTTTGTAATGTTGCACAGCTTGATTTAGTCAGACATAGAAAGGAGGAGCAGCAGTCTAGAAACCCAGGCTTTACTCAGGAGGAGCTGCAGAGATCCACAGCTCAGCTGGGAGAATTTGCTCATCAGATATAAGGAAAAATGCTTCCATGTTAAGCTGCTTCCGCATCTAAAACCCGGGTTTTTCAAAACTGGGTTTAGCCGCTAACAATCAGCTTTTGGCTCTTTGCCCATTTGACTGAAAAAGCAAATCTGACCCCCTCCTGGCAAGCTGCATGTCCACTGTCCCATACCACCTCGTGTCTGATGAAGGCATCACGCTGAGTGAGCGTTGCTGATGTCGACAGTGAGAAGGAAATCAGGGAAGTAAATAATGGAGAGCAGCATGGACGGGAGCCAAGACGTAGTCAGTATTCTTTATTGTTTTGCTCTTATCTTTCCAAATCCCTTTCACCAGTGCTGCGCCATGTTTATCGGATGTAAAAAGAGTTTTTTCAGCTTGTTAGATCAGAAGCGACTGGCGCGATGTGTTGACGTCTGTACTTCGGTTCAAAGATGTCACTAAGTTAACAGGTCAACCCAGGTCTGGTGTTCCCACACCATGCCAATCAGAGCCGAGGCGATTTTAACGCGGGTCGCTTGCCGAGTCGTTTGACCTGTTTAGACGTGCATCGGTGAGCTGTTCCCACTACCACTAAAAGCCGACTGTTCCCGGGTTTAAACGGGTTTTTCGGCCAGTGGGAAAGAGGTATTGGTGAATGTTCTGATAATGAATGGATTTGCTTTAAATAAACAGTTTCTGAGGCCATTTATTACTTTTGTTAATTCAGTTTCCTCCACTTGAATTAAAAGCATGTTTGACTGTAGGGTTTCGTTTATTGCATCAAATGCTCTCTCGTCCAGTTTCTCACAGCTTAACTGTTGCAGATAAAAAAGCTAACTTCAGGTTCACCATGTTAGCTGCAAATGTCACTTCCCTTCTGTGGCAGCAAAGCCACCTTAAGAGTATTACCACCACCAGAGCTGGAGAAATTTGACTGAAGAAATCGAAAGTCTCTGGGATTTGAAAATTGCAAAAGTGATTGATTGTCCAGTCCTACCAATTATCAGCATATCATCTCTGTAGTAAAACATGATTGCAGCATCCAGCTGTGGAGGACGCGCTATATTAAGAGTTTCTGTTGTTTTGTAAAGAAAAAATGAGCAATAAAGTCAGTATGGTAGACCTTTAAACAGATCTAAAGGGTATTGACTCAGCATGAATTTAAGGCCCACTTATTAGCTTTTTATTTGCTAAAAAATTTGAAGAAAAAAAAAAAAGAAGTCTATCACTTTCCAAATTATGCATAACGGCGGTAAAGACTAAAAACATCTGTGCCGGGCGTACAGAGAGCCCAGTGCTGCTTTGATCTAATGCTAATTCTCCCTCCTTTCTGATATTTCTGCATGACACTTTCTATCCCCCGACCGGCAACAGTGGAGCACTCCATCACGCTAACACGGAGTAGTGCGAAAGTGCTGACAATGTTTTTCTGCCGCTGAAGGTTGCTTGCACTGCGTGTCCTTGTGCGGCGTGCGGATGCATAGATAACCGTCTTCTGGGAAAAAGGATGCAGACTTGTAAATCAAAGCTCCAGGAGTAAGAAGTGAGTAAATGTGCTGCGAGGACTCAGAATTACCATTCAAATGAAGGAATCCATAATGTTTGTATTGTCTGGAGAACATTTGGTGCTCTACCGAGATACCAACATCCTTATTTTTCACATTACTAGAAGCACATGAAATTTGAACGCCTGGAAAAGTGTTTTTCGAAAGCCACAAGCCCCGTCTGCTCCCGGAGGTGAGAGGAAAACACAGACGCCCTACCTTGAAAAGCCCCTTGAGCATGATGTCTATGATCTTGTACTGCTGGTTGATGTCGTTCAGCTCCACCAGATTCTTCAGGGCGTTCAGCTGATCTTTCCTCTTCGTCTCAAACAGCCGCTTGTCTGACAAGGGGAGGTCAGGGAGAATCACAAACAACATGCAGATTCATAGGTTCTCATCCCTATTGCAGACAGAGCTGTGACAACAGCGCACCCACAGCAAAAGGATACAGATCTCCAAGTTGGAGTCGTGTCGGAGTCTCTGCGTGTCAGAGTCCGCCGAGCTGAGGGCCACGGAGGTCAGGGCCAGGATCACCACGCTCCACATGGTCACCAGGGGGTAGCAGAGAGGCACTCTGTGAACACAAGGAGCTGTTAAAACAAATATCATCTGGGTTTGTTTCAGTACTTTTAGCATAAGGGCCTCACCTTAAGTCACACAACCAGTGATGCCAGTTTAAACCACAGCAGAACTGGTTTCTTAAAGCCAAGCCTCAAGTCATATCCTCTGATGTTTTTCCAGTTTAACTGAAAGATTTTTTTTTTCAATTCAACCTTTTCTCAACCGTCACAACTATAGAACATGGAAGCAGAGACAGCCAAGATACCACTCCCTGTACAAATAATCTAGGAATAAGTAAAAATGTCTTATATTGTGAGTATTTACTATTAATTTGAGTAGGTAAATAAGATGTTTTGCTAATGGAATGGGTATTTTTCCTCTTGAAATATTATTATTAGATAATATAGACTTGAAATAAGACAATGCAATCTTATTTTAAATGTAAATTGTCTTGTTCCATTGGCAAAGTGTCTCACTTCCCTCCTCAATCCATGAAAAAGTGCACTTATTTTAAGAAAAATATTTATTTAGAGTTTTAAACTTTTGTGCTTAGTCAGCTAAATCAACACCTAAAGAAACAGGTCTAGGGTTTTATAAATCCACGGCACTCTGATCTGGTCTGTAAACAAACACTTATTATTTGACGGACACAGGTTAAACAACAATGAGATGCTGTTTGTGAAAACTTAAACATAATTACTCATATTTGTTTTCCTGAGGAGGAATTGCAGGGAATGGAATGATGCAAACCTTAAAAAACAAATTCTTAAGAAATAAAAAGGGGAAAAAAAGACAAACAGGCTGATATTATCAGAGTAGATACACTGATGTTTGATAGCATTGTGAAAGATTACAGCCGCGTGTTTGAACGGACGTCACGTTAGCGTCTTTATACATCTCTGTTACATTTTCTGTGATATGCCTGTTTTTTTTGTTTTTTTTTCCTCCTGTGTTCTGGAATTTGCATCATTCCCATCTCTGCAGCATGTTTAAACCCACAAACCACTGGATTTTTTAGGTCCATTCTTCACCCATTAGATGCACGACTGAAATAAGTTCAAACTTTGACCACTGGATCGATGTTACGATGATGAACACAGAGGACTCAAAGTGGTTAATGCAGAAGCAAAACAATCAGTGCTGCTGTTTTCTTTTAGGAGACGAGAGGCTTTCTCTTGTTCCCACTTCAAAACAAATAATTTTAGTCTTTTTCCCAACAGGACTTTACTGAGCTGTAACATCCAACCTGCTAACTCAGGCATCTTAGCGAATCTTCTGGGTCTTTTGCAGGGTCTGAACATGATGTGAATCTCCTGGTTAGGGACCATCTTAGGTGGTTTCTTATTGTAATTGTTCCGACTGCAGAATGAAGGACTTCAGATCGGTTAAAAACGGCCTAATAAATCTTCCCAGATTGACGACATTTGCCAATACCCTTTAATCCTGCCATTGTGTTAATTCCAACCTGTGCCAGAGTCATTAATGGCAGAAATTTCTGTTTTTATGGAGGAGTTAATGAAATAGAATATAAATGGATTAAGAAAAAGATAATATGCTTCTCCCCACTTCTACTTGTAAATTAAGACTGGAATCTGATGTTTTTCTTTCATAAACAGGTTTATTCAGACAACTTCTACTATAATTTGTGTGAAGACCAAAGTATATGCAGAAGACCAAGAAGACAATTTTTTTTTTTTTTTTATCTGGAGAGAAAAAACAAGAAACGCAGCCTCTCTTCTCCTGCATCCGTTGGCCAAGGCAGATTAAAGCAAAGCAAACACCAACCTCTCCCGTATTGTTAAAGCATTGCAAAACCTCCCAGGTAACAACAACCCACAGAAGGGTTAGCTGAGTCCTATCAGCGTCTTTGTAAAGATATTAAATCATCCAATAAGTGGTTTATATTGTGGAAATTTCCCTGAAATGGACAAGGGTCTGACTTTCCTTTCCCCAAAGCAGTTGGCCCAGCCCTGACTCCTCTGATACTTGTAAAGTATGTAATAGAAAGACACACAGGGGATAAACGGTCAATATGGAGCAACAGAGGGTGGCCCCGAGTTTATAAACGGGCCCCTTATGTTCCTTTTAAAACACATCTGATGTCTGGCACTTGCTTAATCCCCTTAGGAACTTTAACAATCCCTGCAGCAGACTCCTTCTCTGCTCTCGCCTCAAATCTCTGATGAAAACAAGGGTCTATAACATTTTTCATTTGGTTGCAGCTTCTTTTTTTTTCTGCCTCTGGAGCTTTTTTTCCCAACATTTGAAAGGGGACAGATAAAAGTGAGAAGAAGGGCTAAATATAGAAACTAATAAATGAAAAATCTCTCAAAGCCCATTTTTAGATACCATTAGCTGCAAGCTGGAGGAGGACTGAATAATGCTGATGAAAAACTACAGGATATAATTCATATAATCCATGCATAATTTAGCAGGGGCCTTCATGGCATGAGACCGCAGGGAGGATAGGGAGGGCTTGGAAAGGTTGAATGAAGGGAAGCAGGGCGAGGGAAGGAGTATGAGAGTACAGAGGGGTGGAGGGTGGCAGCGGGGAGGAGAGCCCCTCCGGGAAAACAACAGCTTTCCTGGTGAATATTTTATCCTCCTCTACTAAGACACAGGGAGGAGAGCAAGTGCAACATGGATCAGCGGAAGAACATAATGAGCAACAGAGACTTGATTTCTGCTCTAACTGAGTTAATCTCTGCAAGCTCGGGAGCCTTTTCTTAAATCTGAAGAACTACTAAGTGAGCAAATGTCTGCTGGTCTGGATGTTAATTCAGACTGAGCGATTCCCCCTGAGAGTCTCATCAGAGTCCGATGAAAAAAAAACCCTCAGTGTCCTTCTTCAATGTGCCAGTAACACAGACAAACAGTAATCACTTCCACAGCACCCGTCTGTTTAAGCGGGGGCTCCTGATACACCCTGACAGCCGCTCAGAGAATCCAACTCACAACAAGGTCTCACCATTTCAATTTCTAGACATGCGAGTATGAGAGTTTCATTTTTAGCAGCCATTTCTGCATTCCTGGGGTCTCTGTGGTCATATTGTTTTACCTGAAGATAAAAGAGCAGAGTAGGTTTTTTACTTCAGTCAGCAGAAAGAGGAGTTTCTGAAGAAAGCACATTTTGGACAACCTCCAAACTTTTTAAGAACTGCTCCTTTAGATGAGCTCAGAGCTAAAAGAAAGCTTCAATATTTCAGGACGGCAGCCTTGGCCCCCTGGATGACATCCTACATGATTTTCAACACCATTTAAAGTGTAACTCACCCAAAAATCAACCTTTTTTTTTTTTTTTTTTAAACTGGATCTTGGGGTGCTATTCTAATTTTATTAGCTCTGAAATAGTTGGCTTAAAGCCGTCTCAGTGCTGCCCCAAACGGTTGGACAGCCGCTACTGCAGCCCCTATTGGTTCAAATACTGCTACATGACTATAACACTAACGCTGGCTTCCATCATCATAACCCTACATTTGTATATTAATAATTGAGACGCCTCAATAACGGGTCTTCTCTGTCTCTGCAGCACCAGCTTTGGGCTTTTTCTAAATCAGCTCCCTAAAGTCAGCCGCTTCAACTGATAAAAAGAGTTGCATTTTGGGTGCTGTGGACTAGCCTGACGTAGTCCGACTCAATTCTAGTCAGAATATGAGTCTGATACTGCTCCATAGAGCTGTGATTATGGGGCGTGTTTCGAATTAACCAGGGAAAAAAAATGCCTCTGCACTCAATTGGATAGACCTACAACCAATAAGAGCAACGGGGTGCGTGACGTATGTTAAGCGAGGCATAGTTGTTGTCAACAAAAATCAAAGCGTGCAGTTTCACACCTAGAATAAGAAGATGAGCCTTGATCGCGTTTTTCCGTTCCTCTTTT